CGCTATCGCAGCCTGATCGCCGGCCGAAATCAGAGGTCTCCGACGACTGTGCGCCCTCCGTTGACGATTAAAGGTAATGACTTGCCGCTTCTTTCTCCAAACTAGGGCATGAAACACCGAGATTGGGGTCGTACGTAAGAAACTTGGTTTGTTTAGGGGGTGAATGGGTCCCTCAATCTTTAGGGCATTAAACTAGATTTCTCAACTTTCATCATCGTTACAAACAAGTTTTAGTGTATAATTTTTTTTATTTTTTTTCTTTCTCTTTATCTTCGTTGGAGTGATTATTGCATCATGGAATTTGGAAGATGAATCTGCTGCCAGTTTTCAATGGATTCGGATCCTCTCCACTACAAAAAAAATAGTGGAGGGACCACTACATAATCATAGCCATTGATTATCTAGTTGATGGATATGATTTTTTCTTTTATTGCAAATTAGGAATGAGTGCAATACACGGAGGTATGGTAAGTGTTAGATTTAGATTGTATCATAACCGCCTACTAAATAATCAACGTTTAAAATTAAAAGTAGTGGTCCCTCCACTACTTTTTTGTAGTGGAGAGGATCCAAATCCGTTTTCAATGTGTTGTTGTTTTGTTTTTATCTTCAGTTCTTCATCTTTCTTATACTCTGCATCTGGGGAGTTAAACTGAGGGGGAGGGGAGGGGAGGGGAGGGCAGGGGAACATTTGGCCGTTTTAGAGATAAACCCTTCAACTATTTTAATTCCACAAAAACCCCTTAACTTTGGCCAACTTTAGGGATAACCCGTTATAGTTTTGCACAAGACCCCCTTAACTTTGAGGTGTTTTGCACATGACCCACACGAACTTCATTTATTCCACTAGACCCCGATGATTTTTCACTTTAAACTCCAAAATAACACCATCAACTCTAACGTGTAAAGCGCCGAGAGCAAAGTCACACAAATACCCCTCAGCCCTCAAAAAAGTCATCCTTTTATCCTTTTATTATCTCCATTAAATAATTAATGGCTGAGGGAATATTTTTCCCTTTTCTCTGTACACGTGCTTGCAACATGACATGTTAGACTTGACTGTCTTATTTTGGAGGCTTAAAGTGAAAAATCTTCAATAAAAAAGTTCATAGGATTATGTACAAAACCCCTCAAAGTTAGTGGGAGGGTTTGGGGGTATTAAAATAGCTATGGGGGATTATCTCTAAAACATTCAAAGTAAAGGGGTTTTTTTTTGGTTGTAGTTGTTGTTGAAATTTTACATTTAGTTGTCGAACCACATTTTTAAGTTTTGAATAGAACATTTCCTTTTATTGTAATGGGGGGGAAAAACATTCAAAATGTGCTCCTGTTTTAATGAATTGTCTATTGTTATTCTGAGTAGCTATTTAATTTGATATGCTCTCTTGTGCAGTGCTCCATTAATCTCACTTTCTTAAAACATAAAAGGTTCTCGGAGGTCAAAACCTTACTATATTGCAGAGTTCTGTATATTGCGATGTCCACTTTATCAGCTTGTACTATGCACAATAATCTGGTTGGCCTGAGATCATCAGGAAGTTCCCTTTCCAAATATTACGAGGGACAGCACAAAACATCCACCCTTTCAAATATCAGTTATAAACGTTTGTCTACTGCCGGGCACTTACAAGTGGCTCATACAATGAATTCGGTACACGGGGAAGTGGAACTAAATGCTATTCCGTCACACTGATAAAAGATCTCCCTTCTCATTGGGTAAAAAATTTGAACTTGACGATGTTATCGAGGCTCAGCAATTTGACAGGGACATTTTAAATGGAATATTCAAAGTGGCTAGAGAAATGGAATTGATTGAAAAGAATTCACCTGGGAGCAAAATCTTAAGGGGTTTTCTTATGGCCACTTTATTTTATGAGCCCTCAACTCGAACTAGACTGTCCTTTGAGTCAGCCATGAAAAGATTGGGTGGAGAAGTGTTGACAACTGAGAATGCAAGAGAATTTTCTTCAGCGGCAAAAGGAGAAACTCTTGAAGGTACATTATTCTTCTGAACTTTATAACAGTTTATGATTTCCCTTGTTTGATGGATAAGGTAATTTTGGGTTGCAGATACTATAAGGACTGTCGAAGGGTACTCGGATATAATTGTCATGAGGCACTTTGAAAGTGGAGCTGCAAGAAGAGCAGCCTCCACAGCTACTATTCCTGTTATTAATGCTGGAGATGGTCCAGGACAGCATCCAACTCAGGTACCTCAAGCCGATTTAAATCTCTATTGCTACCACATGTATAATTCCATAAATATAACTTTTGAATTTGGTGTTTTCTTACCAAAACCTTGCATGAAGATGTTATAGACAAGTGCAACATATTTTTCACCTTTTCCCTTTTACTGAGATTTTAATTCTTAGCAATTCCTCTGCAAATGATTGAAATCTTTGGGTAATTGGCTTGATAAACTGAGTTACAATTTTTATGTTTTACAGTATTAATTTAATATTCTCCTTTTCATAGATTATGATATTGTGGTACATATGGTCTTTTCCAAAGATGCGTCTTTAAGGTTTTTGCTATGTAGCCTCTTACTGAAAGTTTATACTGTCTTTGTTTGGAGGTTATCATTCTTTGACATTTGAGTCTATAAAGAACCTTCAAACATATAGCACATTTATTACAACTTACTGATAGAATGTGTTAAGCACAGACAACGTTATTTTAGGTCAACATGATGTTGTTATTGCCCTGGAGGCGGCCCAAATATGAATCAAAGTTTACATGCTTTTGCAGTTTGTAAATTATCTTAAAAAACCCATTTTTTGTGTGTTTCTCCCTTGAAATTGTAAGATAAACATATTTTACAATAAAACGTGACGCATTGCTAATATCCTGCAAGGGCTTTGGCTGGTTAAAATTTGGCGTGGGGGTGGGTGGGTGGGGCATGATGCACAAGTAAATTGTCATATTTAAAGAAGGCGTTATGTTTGTGGTTTACAAATATAGCTTGAAAACATAGATATCTAAATTTATGAGGTTCAGTTTTTTCAGAGGTCATGTTTTATGTATAAGAGTTGATGTTGTTACATAGAAAAAGAGATATATTATATTCGCCTACGTCATGTGTTGCGTGACCAATTATCCACCTCGACGAGGGGTCCTCGTGCAATTTTGAAGCTTTTGGCAAAGTATAGTACTTTATGGGAAAGTATAGCACCTTATGGCCAAAGTATAGCACTATACGATAAAGTATAGCACTTTATTGACAAAGTATAGCACCTTATTGGAAAAGTATAGCACCTTATGCTTTCTGAAAATTCTGCACCTTAAGTGTCTAAAAGCAAATCAGTTTTTTTTTCCGCGACGAAACCACTCGACGACCTACGTCACGTGTTTATTGACCTATCATCCACCGCGACGGGGGCCTCACTCAATTTTGAAGCTTCTGGGCAAAGTATAGCACCTTATGGTAAAGTATAGCACCTTTTGGCCAAAGTATAGCACTATATTGCAAAGTGTAGCACTTTATTAACAAAGTATAGCACCTTATTAGCAAAGTATATCACCTTATACTTTCTGGAATTCTGAAGCTCAAGTGCCTAAAATCAAATCAGTTTTTTTCGCCGCGACGAAACCACTCGATGACCTACGTCACGTGTTATTGACCAATCATCCACCGTGACGGGGGGTCCTCGTGCAATTTTGAAGCTTCTGGGCAAAGTATAGCACCTTATGGTAAAGTATAGCACCTTTTGGCCAAAGTATAGCACTATATTGCAAAGTGTAGCACTTTATTAACAAAGTATAGCACCTTATTAGCAAAGTATATCACCTTATACTTTCTGGAATTCTGAAGCTCAAGTGCCTAAAATCAAATCAGTTTTTTTCGCCGCGACGAAACCACTCGATGACCTACGTCACGTGTTATTGACCAATCATCCACCGTGACGGGGGGTCCTCGCGCAATTTTGAAGCTTGTGGGCAAAGTATAGTACCTTATGGGAAAGTATAGCACCTTTTGGCCAAAGTATAGCACTATATTGTAAAGTATAGCACTTTATGAGCAAAGTATAGCACCTTATTGGAAAAGTATAGCACCTTATACTTTCTGGAATTCTGAACCTTAAGTGCCTCAAATCAAATCAGTTTTTTTTGCCGTGACGAAACCACTCGACGACATACGTCACGTGTTATTGACCAATCATCCACCGCGACGGTGGGTCCTCGCACAATTTTGAAGCTTCTGGGCAAAGTATAGCACATTTTGAGAAATTATAGCACATTTTGGCCAAAGTATAGCACTATATTGAAAAGTATAGCACTTTATTAACAAAGTATAGCATCTTATTAGCAAAGTATAGCACCTTATACTTTCTGGAATTCTGAAGCTCAAGTGCCTAAAATCACATCAGTTTTTTTTACCGCGACGAAACCACTCGACGACCTACGTCACGTGTTTATTGACCTATCATCCACCGCGACGGGGATCCTCGCGCAATTTTGAAGCTTCTGGGCAAAGTATTGCACCTTATGGTAAAGTATAGCACATTTTGGCCAAAATATAACACTATATTGCAAAGTATAACACTTTATTACCAAAGTATAGCACCTTATTAGCAAAGTATAGCACCTTATACTTTCTGGAATTCTGAACCTTAAGTGCCTCAAATCAAATCAGTTTTTTTTGCCGCGACGAAACCACTCTACGACATACGTCACGTGTTATTGACCAATCATCCACCGCGACGGGGGGTCCTCGCGCAATTTTGAAGCTTCTGGGCAAAGTATAGCACCTTATGGGAAAGTATAGCACCTTTTATTGGAAAAGTATAACACTTTATGCTTTCTGGAAATTCTGCAGCTTAAAAGCCTAAAATCAAATCAGTTTTTTTCGCCGCGACGAAACCACTCGACGACATACGTCACGTGTTATTGACCAATCATCCACCGCGACGGTGGGTCCTCGCACAATTTTGAAGTTTCTGGGCAAAGTATAGCACATTTTGAGAAATTATAGCACATTTTGGCCAAAGTATATCACTATATTGAAAAGTATAGCACTTTATTAACAAAGTATAGCACCTTATTAGCAAAGTATAGCACCTTATACTTTCTGGAATTCTGAAGCTCAAGTGCCTAAAATCACATCAGTTTTTTTTACCGCGACGAAACCACTCGACGACCTACGTCACGTGTTTATTGACCTACATCCACCGCGACGGGGGGTCCTCGCGCAATTTTGAAGCTTCTGGGCAAAGTATAGCACCTTATGGGAAAGTATAGCACCTTTTGGCCAAAGTATAGCACTATATTGCAAAGTATAGCACTTTATTGGAAAAGTATAGCACCTTATTGGCAAAGTATAGCACCTTATGCTTTAAAGTATAGCATCTTATTGGCAAAGTATAGCACCTTATGCTTTCTGGAAATTCTGCACCTTAAGTGTCTAAAATCAAATCAGTTTTTTTCGCCGCGACGAAACCTCTCGATGACCTACGTGACGTGTTTATTGACCAATCATCCACCGCGACGGGGGGTCCTCGCGCAATTTTGAAGCTTCTGGGCAAAGTATAGCACCTTATGGGAAAGTATAGCACCTTTTGGCCAAAGTATAGCACTATATTGCAAAGTATAGCACTTTATTGGAAAAGTATCGCACCTTATTGGCAAAGTATAGCACCTTATGCTTTCTGGAAATTCTGCACCTTAAGTGTCTAAAATCAAATCAGTTTTTTTCGCCGCGACGAAACCACTTGACGACCTACGTCACGTGTTATTGACCAATCATCCACCGCGACGGGGGGTCCTCGCGCAATTTTGAAGCTTCTGGGCAAAGTATAGCACCTTATGGGAAAGTATAGCACCTTTTGGCCAAAGTATAGCACTATATTGCAAAGTATAGCACTTTATTAACAAAGTATAGCACCTTATTAGCAAAGTATAGCACCTTATACTTTCTGGAATTCTGAAGCTCAAGTGCCTAAAATCAAATCAGTTTTTTTCGCCGCGACGAAACCCCTCGACGACCTACGTCACATGTTATTGACCAATCATCCACCGCGACGGAGGGTCCTCGCGCAATTTTGAAGCTTCTGGGCAAAGTATAGTGTTATTGACCAATCATCCACCGCGACGGAGGGTCCTCGCGCAATTTTGAAGCTTCTGGGCAAAGTATAGCACCTTATGGGAAAGTATAGCACCTTTTGGTCAAAGTATAGCACTATATTGCAAAGTATAGCACTTTATGGGCAAAGTATAGCACCTTATTAGAAAAGTATAGCACCTTATTGGAAAAGTATAGCACTATATTGTAACTAGGATGCAACTGCAGCAGCATGCCAAGGCTTGTGGTTGAGGAGTTTAATCAGCGAGGTGATTGGGAGTGAGCCCAAGCCGGTCACACTCTTTGTCGACAACAAGTCCGCGATTGCCTTGATGAAAAATCCAGTTTTCCATGGAAGAAGCAAGCATATCGACACACGGTTTCACTTCATTCGTGAGTGTGTTGAGCGAGGACAGATTAAAGTGGAGTTCGTGAGCACGAGCGAGCAGCGAGCGGATATTCTTACGAAGGCACTAGCGAGGGTGAAGTTCATCGAGATGCGGGAGCTTCTAGGAGTAAGGGACTTAGAGTCTAGTCCAGATTAAGGGGGAGAATGTGAGTTGTTAATCAGTCCTAGTTAGAATAGAGTTCTAGTTAGAATAGAATACTAGTTAGGATAGTTTTTCTAGTTATTGGATAAGATTAGAGTTGTAATCTTATTCCTATATATATGTAAACAATCTTTGTAAGTAGCAGAACGAAAATAAGAAAAAAGTGAAAACTCCTCCACCGAAAATTCCTCTCTCTCTGTTTTTTTTTCGGTTCTGTTCTATTTCCTGCAGCAACACCAGTTTCTGTTTTTTTGTATTTCCTGCAGTTCGGTTGCTACAGTGTTTACAGTTTTTCCAACTCAGTTTCAGATTTGATTCAGGCCGATCCTATTACAAATCCAACATAATGTGCTATACTTTTCCAATAAGGTGCTATACTTTACCAATAAAGTGCTATAATTTATAATATAGTGCTATACTTTGGCCAAAAGGTGCTATACTTTCCCATAAGGTGCTATACTTTGCCCAGAAGCTTCAAAATTGCGCGAGGACCCCCCGTCACGGTGGATGATTGGTCAATAAACATGTCATGTAGGTCGTCGGGTGGTTTCGTCGCGGTAAAAAAAACTGATTTGATTTTAGACACTTAAGGTGCAGAATTTCCAGAAAGCATAAGGTGCTATACTTTGCCAATAAGGTGCTATACTTTGCCAATAAAGTGCTATACTTTGCCATATAGTGCTATACTTTGGCCAAAAGGTGCTATACTTTCCCATAAGGTGCTATACTTTGCCCAGAAGCTTCAAAATTACGCGAGGACCCCCCGTCCGCGGTCGACTGATTGCGTCAATAAACACGTCACGATACGGTCGTTGAGTGTTCGTCGCGGCCCGAAAAATAAATGATTTGAGTTTAAGACACTTAAAGGTAGCGAATATAATATCAGCACCTTTCTATGTAGAACAACGTATCAACTCTGTATACATAAAAACATACATTTTGATATCACTGAATAACCTACACATGAGACATATATAAATGTTGCACATCAACCAATATCCGCAAAATTATCAATATAGCACTATTTTTGAATAGACAATACCATGACATAACTGTACACATTTGATACAAAATACCAAATCCGAACACATGCTAGACATCATAACCACTCGTGGCCCTTTATAACATGCCTTCCAAAATAAACATATCCGTACATGATGAATCATATTAATCTAATACTCATATATCCTCAGTACACATGCATACTTCAGTTTATAAGTATACAAACTAACATACATATTAAAAAGAAGACATCTCAATACAGATGATGTTCAAATATCATTCACTTTCTTCAGTGTTGTTTCCCCTAACTACTTTAGCTGCATCGCAAGCTTGTCAAGGCCTCTTGTAGTGTTCAACATAATAAAACATTCCCATGGTTCCTTCGAAAAGGAACCGCGGTCTTCATACATAAGATGGTGTAGATCTTCAATTATATATCATCATTTCTAACTCTTCATCAACCAGTTCATAAAAACATACCTGAAAAAAGACCAAAATTAGCTCTCGATACTAATAGTAAAACAAACAAAAAATACACATTATCGTATCAAATATCCGAAGCAAGCAATGAGCAAACTGCTAACATGTTTACACTTCTAGATGAGGCGCTTCGGAGTTTACTACTTTAAGGCTATCAAGGCTATCCAATTTCTAATTATTCCTCAATAAAGAAACATGTTTTAAACAATATGGAACCTCTAAACAAAAATATGTAGGGACTTAGAATAATTATTTCCCAGTTCATGATAAAAATTAAAACTCTTATAATTCTTACAGACTCTCATGAAAAAAATGAACATCCATAATACAATTACTGAAAATATTTGAAGAAAGTTAACCAAATAAACAAATAGCAAACAAAACCCAAATAAATACAAATTACAACAAAGATCTCTAAACATGATTAAAAGAGCAGGATAAAATTAGAAACCGCCATCAATTTCAGTTGCTTTCAGTAACACAAGTCTCATCTCCTACAATGTACATACAAATTACAACAAACCACAGAGATCTCTAAACTCAGAGGAACTCAATAGCTCACAAAAATTAAAAATTGAAATCTTAAATTAGCATTGGAATCAAACCTAAAAACTCCTCTAGGCCTCCAACGAACCCTAATGTTGCCAACTTGAAGCAAAACCCACATAAAAAAAGGGGGTTTTCACCTTCGGCGGCCTCCCCCTCCCCTTCTTAACCCCGTCGACCAATGTAGCTGTCGTCATCGGCGACGGCACCACCTCATCCGCCTTGTCCTTCATCGACTTGGGATTTTTGAGGTTTGAGAACCGCCTCTTAGGGTTATGAGAATCAATTATATCTGGGGAAATGAAACGAATGAGAGAGATATCGTTGTTGTATTTGGGGATGAAGGGCAATTTAGGGATTTTTATTTTATTGGGAAAATACAGTATAAAGAATGAGTGAATTATACGTATTGGGTTTAAAAATAAATGGCATGAGATATTTTGGGTTTATGAATGTTTATATAAGTGGGTGGGTTTTTAAATAAGTGAGGGTAAAATTTTGGGTTAAAAGAGAAAAACCCCTTTTTTTAACATGTATAGAGAAGGCCCACTGAAAGACTAGTTATCAATACATCATTGAGCAAAGTCTTTTGACACAGTACAAAAGTGAAAACCTTGGAACCCAATCGAATGCTGACGAGATTATAAAGAATAATTTTCGAATCCAGGAAGAGAGAGTCTTGAATTCACAAAGTAATATAAAAGAGGAATTTTATTGATCAAAAGCAGTGGTTTGATTTAGGATATACAATCCCCTACTTAAATAGAAAATGAAGCAACTTCTACTAGGAGTAAAATTACTAGGAATTGAAAGCATCATAGCTGTCTTAAAAAATGATCCCTGTGATTGAGGTAATTAATTTGTCAAATCGGAGACCAAATTAGATTCATTTCTTAATCAAAATAGACTCGTACATCAATAATAAAAATAGCAAAATAACTAGGGTAAAGTCTGATATCTCTCACTCTGGAGGGAATTTTACAATACGGACAGCGACGACCTAAACCTCAATCAGCTTTGTTGACTGCATCTCTGAAAGTACATGAGTTTATATGTTACTTGTTAGATTGTGGCCAATAGATTGAGAGCCACCGTAGGGTGGCTCGCGCCCAGAAATGCCCAAAACACGTTTTTCGATAGTTTTCTCGGGATTCTTTCGTTCCAAAGCCTCCCCAAGTGCTTTGATACTATCCCTAAACGTGGTTAAGCGGTTATTAACTGAGAATAATATTAAATCATCAATTCATATCCTAAAACGCTGCAACTGAAGCCTATAAATACAAGCCTAGGGTCCTATACGCAGGGGAGCTGAAATTTAGGCGAGGTGTTGTCACTGCGAAGAGCGAACCACGAATTTCAGAGAGGCTAGCAGATCTTGGCGAAGTTCTTCAGCATAAAGAGGGAGAGTTCGAGAGATCTGAGGCCCATACCACTTTCCTCCGGATCAAACTTGGTTTTGGTCTCAAGAAGAGTCGTAATCTCACTTGGTTGATATTATCACTTCTGCGATTGTTTCATTTGTAAAGCAAGATCATTGAATTTCGTTCTATCAACCGGATCTGATCCGTGATGGTCCACAGACTAACGCGTCCCCGGCACTGGCAAAGATCACACGTAAGTAGCGGGGTGATAACGTCCTCTGCGTGTATTTGAAGAGAGTTGTAATTTTTGTTTTATTTGTGTAAGCGAGAAGTCTTATGAAAAGACTAACTCTTTTGAATTCATTGTAATCGATAAACATGTAATGAATTCGACAAATAAACCAATTTTCGACGCCAACATCTGTCTGTGTGACTCGAAAGAACATATTTGGGTCTACTAAAATAAATATTAATTGAGATATCACTGTTTTTTGGTCGTACGGTGAAGAATACGATAAAGGCTAAATTTAGAATGGATTTTAAAGTGAATCATAAACATCCACGGAACAGAGTTAGGGTTCTTATCAGAACGCCTTATATAATAGAGTGATCTGTACCAGCTACGGATAATTAGAGGGTTAGTTTAGAAATCACGACTATCGAATCAATGGTGTACATAATCATCCCTCCTATGGGGAGGATCCCTACTACACATAACAAAGGCTGCGATTAGAGTTGCTGATCTTTCTCAACCCTTGACCGTCGCATCTTTGACAAATCCCACTCAATCCAGAGCTCATCCTCTCTCTCCTCCTACAAACTGTAACAAATCTTTTTTTGTTCTTCTCGACAAAGCCGTCTCTGCACTTCTCTCCCCTTCACTCCTCCTCCTCCATCTAAAACCCCAACCTACACCCCCTCACAAATGGGCTCTATCGGCGCCACCAACTCCCACCCCCACATAGCGGTCTTCGCCTTTCCCTTCGCGTCTCACCCCGGGAACCTCTTCACCTTCACCTGCATGCTTGCCACCGCCGCTCCAACCGCCACCTTCTCGTTCTTCTCCTCCGCCGCATCACTGTCCCCCCTCTCGTCTGCCGCGAGGCCTGACAACGTCCGCCTATATTGTAGTTTGGACGACGGCGCCCCGAAAGACTCAGGTGATAATGTGGTGGAGCGCATTGGGAAGTTTGTGGGTACGGCGCCGGGGAACTTTTGGGCGGGAATTAAGGCGGCGGAAGAGGACGCCGGAGGGGAGAAGGTGAGCCGTGTTGTGAGCGATGCTTTCCTCTGGATGGCGGGAGAGGTGGCGGAGGAGATGGGGGTGCCGTGGGTGGCGCTATGGACGTGCGGCCCAGGGGGCCTCTTGGCCCATCTTTATACCGACCTCATCCGGCACAGGATAGGAGTCTTGTATCCAGGTGTATATAAATTTCTTCTCACTGGTTGTTTAACGATATGATTTGTTTTCTCAAGTGCAAATAGGAACAAGTCAATAATTTTATCTTATTAGATTTACGTGACACTCGTTGGCGGGATTAAGGCAGAATTTACGTTGCATCATATTTGCCTCTTTTTATTCCCTAGTTGAGGTACCGAGAGATC